GGGCCCCATATGTCCAGATTTGTCTGGACGCTGCCTTTAAGTTGGTACCACATGCTTCAAAAAATCGTATAAGGTTTGCTGCAAAAGCGCTAACTTAGATAAGTAAAGATAGCTATGCAGCTGGGCTGATGAGATGCTAGTAGAAAATGCGCTATATTGCGCACATAGCCCTGCTATCCCCAGAAGCAACGTTACGATAGTACAGATTACAATCGACGAAATGGTCAAATTTGAGAAAACTTTACCAATGACTCTAAGAAAGTGAGGAAACCAACCTATACTGTGACCGTAATCCATATTAGCCGTGCCTGAAGCAGCTTGCAATTGAAATTGATAACTTGGGGGTTGTTGTGGTTGATGTCCTATAGGTTGTTGCTGGTAATACATTTGCGAAGAAGTTGCTCCTGTCTGAAAATAAACGAGGTCTGAAAGAGTTCAAAAATCCCACTATCTGATGAAAAACACCACAAAAACAATATGGACAAAAAATACAATTTTGGAAGTGTGCAAAACTCACTTGAGTAGGATACTGTACGTACTGATGGGAGGCTTGAGCGGCAGTCGCCGGAGGACGAGCCTGCTGATAGTAATCCATTTAAATAAAAGCGGTGTTCAAAGTAGATCAAAGCCACTCGGCGCCTAGTACTCTCGGGTCCCTTCTGAAAAAGTATAGACTACAAAAAAATATGGTGAAAAAATTTTGAATCATAATAAGAAACTTTTGATGTCTTTCGGCAAAAAATTCATAAAAATACCTGTATCTGATAGCTACACAATTCATGCACAACAACACAAAACAAAAGGTATTTCGCAGATGATCAAAGTTCATTTCTCATGTAGAAGAAGCACATTTGGATAGTGGCCATTTACAATGCGACCATGGATGATGCGTAAACGCTGATTGCAAAAATGTCTTCAGCAGCTGCAAAACACCTTCCGGGGAAGTTCTGAGTCGCGTATGTTAGGCATGCGCAGCTAATTTAAGAGCAATGGGTGTAGGCCTATCGCTCAATTGTATCATCGATGACTACACTAGACAATGTGTGCCAAACAACTAACATGGCCGCATTTATCAGAACCTTGAAGATGCAGTGGAGTCAAATTTTCGCTGCAAGGCTATGGCGCCTCCCAAAGAAATTTGCAAAATATGCTCTATCGTCTCCAAACATTTTCACAACCTCTTAAACTAAGAGCGCTTTTTGTGAATCTGATAGAAAAAGAAAATTCACCTATACTTCCTACGGGTTTCAATACACTAAGTCAACGCAATGAACCAAGAAAGCACCTGGAAATGAGTATTAGAAAAGAAGAAAAAAAAGACCGGATATCTGAATAATTTTTGCTCAAAATTCCTGACAAAAAAATTGAGAGCAAGAAATGATAAAAATGTTGCAAGTACCGCAACCCTTTATTTTAGGGCAAGTAAAGTGCACGTTTACTACAAGTAAGATGCATTGGTTCAGTGTAGACGTAGAAATCGATTGACTCGTAGAGGGAGACATTTCGCACCCGAGGAACAGCACAACATATAAAATCGATACGCATGAGGATGCGGGCGAAAGAAAAACAGGAGTATTGGAAAATCGTATAAACGGAGGTGTGCAAGGTGGTCTGTTGGTGTGGGGAGTGAGCTGGACGACCGGAGGTGCAGCGGTGGCGAGAGCGAGATCGATACTCTGACCACGGCTGCGAGTGACATTGGCCGCAGTGGTGGTCGCGTAGCACGGGGACATCGTCATCGCATGATCAAGACAGCAGAGTAGAGCAACAGCCCGAACAGCTCCACTCTGCCCTAGGGCCGCACAAGAAGCATGTTTTCAAAAGCCCAAGCTAGCTCGTTGGATTTCATGCAAAGTTCCTGGCGCGGCCTCAACTCTGCAGCAAGTCAGTATTTACTCGAATTACGTCACCACCGTCTGCAAAAACATCACGCTTTAGGCATTGTGCGCTGGGAATACATCTACCAGGATCGATACCTGGCAAGGACCCAAGGCGCTCTTGAAGGATGCCGCCCACCCAAACGGGATCAGCGCTCCCGTGCCGCCCCGACGTTTGCACTGGGGAACTTTCACGCATGGGCATATTCATGTGCATTTAGCTGATAGGCACACTGCCCCTCAAGTTGAGAGAAAAAACAGCAGACATTTCAAATCAACAGTCCGCTTTCTACGTTTACAAATTATGAAGACATGACTTGCTTCTACACAGCCGATCTTTCTCTCATGAAAACAATGAAGCGCAAGAGAACAGTCTAACAAGGGAAGGCTACTATGGTCATTCACAATGATCTGTTTATAGAAAAAATGCGTCTTTCAATTCCAGTTCGAAAACTGACTTTCATATCTGCCAAACGATTACCTGTATAGAATTGTGAATTTCCCAAAAATAAAGCTACGGGAGGGTCTATAATCATCCATAAAAAATTTCTTCCCTTCTAAAATACTGAGTATGATGCAAAAAGTTATAAGTACAACAGTACGCCGCCTAAGATCTTCTTCAAAACATCAAACGGTAAACTAAAACGAATTTGGCGATTTTGACCATCTAGAGTATGCAAATTTTTCAAGAATTAGGGTACAGCTTTTTTGGAAGATTGTCTCGCAGATATAAAGTGCAGATTTAGAATCAGCGTTTCGAGATGTATTTTATGGTATAAATCCCATTTCAAACAGCCGCTGTCACCGAGCATCCTTTTTATGTAAGACATTGAAACAGATGAAATAAGAAACGAGTTCCGCAGCATTCAGTAAGAACTTTGTGTCCTATATGCTTTGTAACAACACAAAAATTTTGCTATTACCATCATGAGTTAGAACGTAAGAACGAGTGAGTTCAGAACGTACAGAGATTTTAACTAAACTATGCATCACAATTGAAAAGCTTTTTGCAATTTATGTGTACGAAAGAATTCGGTCAAAGTATCGCAAACTGTGAAAACAGTGCAAAATTCTTCAAACGAAAGCAGCATTCAGTTCAAGAACTTTGTGTCTAAACATGCTTTGTAACTGCACAAAACTTGCTAGTTACCACCATGAATTAAACCCCAAGAATGAGAGAGTTCAAATGAAATTCTACTGATCTTCACGTCGCGAATGAGATTTTTACAACACATCAACATGAAAGAATTCGGTCAAAGTACAAGCAAACTGTGAAAATAGTGCAAAAACTTCTTCAAAACGTCAAAGACCCACTTCAAATTAGTCTTCTTGGTTCCTGTAATGTAGATATGCTGTTCTAGAGATGCTTCGGCAAAAACATTGAGCGTCCGATTGAAATTCTGCAACAGTTTTGTAAGTCTGAGCTTCAAAAGAAAATTCCCATATTTGATAGCAAGCAGAGATAAATTCGAAGGCAGCTCAAAAAGAGAGAGTGCAAATACAGAGTGTCCCCAAAAAAATGTTTAGAACGTTTGATCGTTTATAAGTCTCTTTATTTCATGTCTTTCGCCGAGCTTGAGGTACCCTGTAAAGCAGGTTCAACTTGGATCTACAGTACGGAGCGAATCATCAATCACTCTTCATTACTGTGATTACGGTATGAACTTTCAGCATATGGCGCCACTGTG